TTATTAATGTTGAGGCTTAAGAATTAGCAAAAAATTAGGAACTCGAACCCGGTCACTGACCGGGTCTTATAAACTAAGGTCTAAGAATTAGCAAAAAATTAGGAACTCAAACCTGGTTACTAACTGGGTCTTATAAACTAATAACATTGAGGCCTAAGAATTAGCAAAAAATTAAAAACTTGAACCCGGTTACCGACCGGGTCTTATAAACTAATAACGTTGAGGCCTAAAAATTATTAATGTTGAGGCCTAAGAATTAGCAAAAAATTAGAAACTCGAACCCAGTTACCGACCGGGTCTTATAAACTAATAACGTTGAGGCCTAAGAATTAGCAAAAAATTAGAAACTCGAACACAGTCACTGACCGGGTCTTATAAACTAATAACGTTAAGACCTGAGAATTAGCAAAAAATTAGAAACTCGAACCCTGTTACTGACCAGGTCTTATAAACTAATAATATAAAAGTCTAAGAGTTAATAACATTGAGGCCTAAGAATTAGCAAAAAATTAGGAACTCGAACCCGGTCACCGACCGGGTCTTATAAACTAATAACGTTAAGGCCTAAGAATTAGCAAAAAATTAAAAACTCGAACCCGGTCACCGACCGGGTCTTAAGAGCTAGTGATTTAATTAAAGCATACAAGACCAACTTTGCAGTCTATAAGAAAGAATTCAAAATCAAGTACCGAAGCAAAAAGTGTAAATCTAAATCTATTGTTACCTATTCTAAGTATTAAAAAAAAGCTGGAATATTCTATCCACATGTTTTTGGCACAGAATCTATTTGAGGTGCAGAACCATTGCCTGATAAGTTAAATTATAATTGTCATTTACAAAAAACAAGATTAGGTAAATTTTATCTTTGTATGCCTATGCCACTCAAAATTAGGTGTGAAAATCAAGCCTCTAAATAGACAAAAATTGAAGAAGGAATACTTGTATTAAATCCAGGAGTTAGAATATTTTTGACTGGCTACTTGCCTTTAGGGCTTACAATTAAATGGGAAAAAATAATATTGGAAGAATTTACCACCTCTGTCATGCTCTTGACAAATTACAAAGTAGGTGAATACAAAAAGAAGTTCAGTATAAAAAATATTACAAGTTAAAAAAAACAGCAAAAAGAATTAGAAAAAAGATTCAAAATCTAATTAATGAAGTACACAAGAAACTCACAAAGTGGATTGTTAAACAATATCATAAAGTATTTCTTCCTAAATTTGAGACACAGAGAATAGTGAGAAGAGCTAACAGAAGAATAAGAAGTAAGACTGCAAGAGTAATGCTCAGATAGTCTCACTATTATTTTAATTATACAAAAAAATTCAAAAGCCCAATTTTTGTCATCAACTTTTATATAAAAAAAAATTCAAAAGTCCAATTTTCATCATTGCTAGAAATTAACTTTTAATATAAAAAAAAGGGAAATTCTATTTTAACCTGGGCCATTTTAACTTGTCACGTGATTATGTGACTATTGTAGCTTGAATCAAGCTCTGAGCTATTAAAAACAAGTCACGTGTTTGACACTTTGGTGTGAACCAATTAGATCGCACTATCAGGTAGGTTTATATGAATCTAAATTTGATCCTACTTGTATATACGTATCAATTATCAATTCATACAGGATCTCAAAATCCTTTTAAAGTTTTTTTAAAACTTTAAAACAATATTTCTCAATTAATACTTAACTAACTTCAGTGATTTTTTTTTATTTTAATTCTATAAGCTAATAGAATTAGAATAAAAGAAATTTTATTAAATTTAGTTAGATAGTTATTGAAAAAACTTTACTTAAAGTTGAATTTTACTATGGCTTTTTGATTTTTTTGAAAATTTTTAATCTTTTTTTTAAACTTTAAGCAAAATTCTCTCAACAACTATCTAACTAAATTTAATGAAATTTTTTTTATTCTAATTCTATTAGCTTATAAAATTAAAATAAAAAATTTTTTGCCAAAGTTAGTTAAGTATTCATTGAGAAATATTGTTTTAAAGTTTTAAAAAAACTTTAAAAGAATTTTGGAAGTTGATGGTTGACACATACATACGAGTAGGATCAAATTTAAGTTTATCTGAATCTACCTAATGGTGTGATCTAATTGGTTCACACCAAAGTGTCAAACATATAACTTGTGTTTTTAATGGCATCTTCCTCTAGATCGCCACCAACATTTTCACTAGCATGTGATTATGTGTAACATATTAAAAAATTCTTTATGTTTGTTTAGATTAGGGTTAGGATTTGGGTTAGGGTTAAAAAGAGCTATAAATAAAATTATTCAAGGAAAACTTTTTGTTAAAGCACTAAAGGTGGTTTCTTATACTACATTTTGTGTTACAAACAATTTTTGACAAAGCAAATATTTGTTTTGATTTTTCCTGATCATATAACATTGCACCTGATCTTAAAATGTGACTGGTTTAAAATCACATGCAGGTGAAAATTTTGAAAATTTGGTGGCAATCTAGGAGTAGTTTTTTAAGAAAAAACTTAACCTGAACCGGGAGGTTTATAATTAATCTGTAGACCCTCCAATTTATATATATATAATGATCTGCATAATTTTTTTTTTGTTTTGATGCTTATCGTCACTTGGTTTTTAGTATTGTCACTCTTGGTGTCGTCGCTTTTGGTGCCACATTTTTTTTGTCACTTTTGGTGCCACATTTTTGTTGTGGTTTTGTCATTTTGTCAGCAAAGTCGTTATAGTTTCATTGTAGATGTCAACACTTCCTAGTGAGTTGTTATTTTTCTTACCTCTTTTAGATTTTTTTTTGCTGCCAGGTTTTTCGTTTCTTTTAGTATATTTTTCATAGGCCTTATGATTTTTCGTGTATTCTCGTCGTTTTTGGTATCGTCACTTTTTTGGTATTATTTTGTTATGTTGGTTTTATGTAACCTTGTCATCAGAGTCACTATGGTTCCTTTCCAGTGAAAACATTTTTTGGGTGTATTTTTTATTAGTTTTGTAGTCCTTTGCATGTTACTTGCCACTTTTTAATATTTGTGGGCTTTATTATTTTTTTGATGAATTTTTTTGTTCTTTTGTCTGAATTTTTTTCCTACTTTTTCATCTTTTTCGCTTGTATATTGTAAATAATAATAAATAAATAAAAATTAATAAAGATAAAAAAAACTGTCTTTAAAGTTTATTTTTTAAAAATCGATTGAAATTTCTATTGCGAAACTGGCTTCGCGGGCGATATGCATAGTAAAAAACTTGATTTTTTTACTTGATAGCTAATAGATCTGAACCAATTATATTTGAGGTCTAGTTTAATTTGCCTAAACCCCGGGGGTCCATGATAACTATCCTAAACCAGGGGTCTAGGATAAGGACGCTCGTTTTTTAATAGCTCGGAGCTCGATTCAAGTCACACTGGTCAGGTGATCACGTGACAGGTTAAAATGACCCGGGACAAAATAGAATTTCCCTAATTATAATGTGAATTAAAATATAGATATTACATTATAATAATATTTTGAATCTTTTAACATATTTCTTTTAACAAATCCGATAAATTTGATGATCTACTTAATGTTTTAACCTCAACTTTATATGATGGTATACGTAACAGTATTCATCATTTTTATCTGATAGTATATATCCATCTTCATTGTCATCTTTTTCAACTACATAACGTACTCCATCTAACCAGGTTACTAAATACCTGTCACCAAATTAACTAATCTATTGAATGGAATCCATTCGATTGCATCTTCGTAGTTCGTAGCTTTAAGTTGAACTTCTTTATTACAATCATCAGCCCTATTCCCACTTGTCCACCCTTGTGTTGTTTTCTGAAGGTCACACATATGACACCAAGCTGGCGATGTGTTATATCGATTGCAATTTGCACATTTTCCATTATTCATTTGTAGTTATGTTTTGAATTAATCCATAAACATTTTTACCTTTAATTGCATATGATTATTAAACTAATAAAATATAAAATATATAAGGTATATACCTATTGGTAAAACTAAAAATAATAATATAATATAATCTTACTTCTTTCAAAATATTCGATAAATTTTGTGAACTTCACAATTTTTTAAGTGCAATTATGCATGGAAAGGTACGTAACTGTATATATAATGTTGAACTTTATTTACATAACGTACTCCATCTAACCAGGTTGCTAATTAGTTATTTGAATATTATTTAACTTGAAAGGAATCCATTCAATTACATCTTCGTATTTGTAGCTTTAAATTGGAATTCTTTAATACAATCGTCAACATCCTTATTCCCACTTGTCCATCCATGTGTTGTTTTCTGAGGGTCACATGTTTGACACCAAATGATGATGTGTTATATCTCTTGCAATTTGTGCATTTTCCATTATAAATATCTCTTTTAGAACCAAATTCATCAAATACTAACATATATTCATTTGTTACGGTATTTGAGTTAGTCCATATACTTTAATTTCACTATTTGCTAACTGTACATAATCTATAAACTATTAGATAAATGATTACATGCAAATCAAGAAATGCGCAGTACAGTTCAATAATATTTTAGATACTTTTTAACTTACTTCTCTTAACATATCTGATAAATTTTAACCCTCACTTACAGTATATATTCATCATTATCATTTTTTTCTACATAACGTACTCCATTTAAAAGGAATCCATTCGATTACATCTTCGTATCTCGTTGCTATAAGTTAAGGATCTTTAATACAATCGTTGACATCTTTGTTTCCACTTGTCCATCCGACACCAAGCTGGCGATGTGTTATATTGGGTGCAATTTGCACATTTTCCATCATACTTAAATCTTTATAATTAAACACGATTTTAAACCGTGGAAAAAAGAAACATTAATTACAAATGCCATTGTGCACAATTCAAGAAATAAAATTGGAAATCACGAGCTTAATTTGTATACTAAATCAGACTAACCTTATCAATTAATTTCACAGCAGGCGGCTTTGCTGCTTATCTTAATTAGGCTGTTATCTTGCTTGTCCAAATTCAAACCCGTTAAACCCGTCGGAGTGATACTGTATTGAAAATTTCATATGGTTATACTGTACCTGTACTATATTATAATTTAAATGATGTTAGTACGTACATACGCAAAATCTTGCATCTTATTGGATAAATACATATGGCGAAGCAAGGAAGGGTGTGAATGCAGATAGAAACTTCGAATATTGCACCTTCACAGATACTTTCTTCGATATCTGGTAACATATGCGGCCAATGTGTTTGAGATTTACATGCTTTTTTTAAAAAAACTTCTTACTATTTGTGATCCGTCGCTTCGCTGGCGGTTTAAACTTACTGGTAATAAAATTAACTATAATTAAACTTATCAGTAGTATGAACATAAGGCCACGCAAGTTAATTTTTCGGTTTGTATTACCCGCCGACCCATTTTTTCAATTTTTCTTTTTAAGTTCCAATTGTGCAATTGTTCTATTTTTACTATTTAATTTTTTTTCCAATCTCAATCCTGTATCACCCGATAATGGACTTATCTTTCCGGAACTGTCCGATAGGACTGATAAAAAAATTCGATTGACGACCCAATTTTCTGATTCCATGTATGCAAAACGAAAATTAACTTTACGTGGCCCTAAATATGAACATGAATCTATTAATTGCTGTAGATTAAAAAAAAAAAATCCGACCGACCGTTGATTTTGAAATCCAACTTTGTACGCCTAATACTAAGCAAAATAATCTGCCTAATTGTAGGGTTGGATCGGTCCGGTCCGTTGTTATGCCCAATTTTTTATTTTTAGTTAGTGTCATATTATTCGAACATCATTTTATGTACTTCTTATTTTGGTATAGTTTGTGGCATAGTTGGGTGATTGAAACATCAACGAGGGATAATAAGGGATTAAAACCCCCGATCAACTCACCGGCAATCATTTCATAGACACCACATTTCACTGACAATTATTTACCGACAAGTTCATTTCACCAAAAGTTTATTTCACCGAAGCTCATTTTATAGACAAAGTGATTCTGGTCAATATCATTATGGTTAGGTTAGAATTAGAGTTAAAGTTAGCGTAATTTATAAAAAAAGCTTGTCGGTGAAATGAGCTTCAGTCTGAACTGGTTAAAAGACCGAAAACCAAGCCGGTTAAAAAGTCCGGTCTTTTCAGGACTAATCCAACCCTATCCAATTGCCCGAATATAAAATAGTAATATTTATTTTTAAATTATAAGGAAAAAAATAAAGTTTTTTTTATATTGTAGTAAAATTTTTAAAAATTAATATTTTTCTACAAGCTTTTTAAAATTCTAAGTATAATTTTGATACATATTGTAAATTTGGTTTAAAAAATAAATTTAATTTAAAAAAAATTTTATAGTTTTATAGATAAAATTTTGACATTACTTAGTAGAAAAAATTTTTTTTCTTAAAACATAAAAATTTAAAATCTTATAAATAAAATTTTAGAATTGATTAAATATTTTTAATAATTTTAAAGTTAAATTCTAAAATTTACAGATAATTAATTAAAAAAGTCTCAACTTTTTATTTTAGCTTAGAAATAGGGAGGCATATTCTTAATAAAATTTTATATACTGTAATTAAAAAAAATATAAAAAAATATTCTAATGGCATATTTGGCTTAGACGGTTTAAGAGATAATAGTATTTATACAAATAAATTTGCCTGTAAATCTCTACCAATTAATAATTGTAAAAAATAGCTAAATTTGCACAGGTTAAGTTACATGGCCGAAGGCCATGTAACCCTGTGCAAAATTTAGTTATTTTATAACCCATATAATAATAAATAAATATTTAATAAGTTTTAAGCTTATTTATGCAAATATAATAAACAAATAAATGTATAGTAAGTTTTAAGCCAATATATACATAAATAGTTTAAAGTAAAGTTTGAAATCTAATTTATATATATTTCAAAACAGTATTCAAATACTGTAGATTTTAAAATACAAACTAGCAAATTTGAACAAATATTTCTAACCTTGATATTAACTTAATGCTTAATAGTGTAACTATTATAATAGAGAGCTTTTGATAATCATGCTGAGTTTAATACTAATAGTTAATGCAAGAGAAGATGCAAAAACTTAATAGTAAAAAAAAACTCATTTTAATATTAACTACAGTATAACAATAATATCTAGTTTGATATTTTTTTTCATATTATTTTTGGTTATTTTTAAATTTGCTCACGTCGATTTTTAAACTAATAAAAATTTTGATTTATCTGATAATATTTTGTGTATTCTAACGAGTTACCACCTTACCTATTTTGTCTAAAAAGAAAATTCATGACTAAAATTGTAATGGATTAAATTAGTCAATATTTGTTTTAACGGATGTGTATTGTTACTAAGAAGCATTTTTATTATTTATTTACACGATGGTACTTAGAAAATCTGGAATAATCTTTTTTTTCTAAATCCATAGCTCGAAATTTTGCTCATGAAATCACACCTTTAAAATTTTTTTGTAAAATTTTATGTTACCGCCTCTCTCTGATACTATTTTAACTCAAACTAATATATATATATTGATTTTAATTATACACGATCATATCATTTGATTATTATACATCACAATTCGTCGGCACAAATTATACCAAAATTAAGTCACCTTTGATACCAATTCCACTTCGATAATATCATACGACACTTGACATTCCATTAGTGTTAATCATCTCTACAGATTTTTGATAATATATGAACGCCTTATACTCATCCTTTGCAACCCCAATTCCGTAAAGATAACAATTTCCAACTTCCCTTATTCCATTAGTATTTCCCATTTCTGCAGATTTTTGATAATAAACGAATGCTTTATGTTCGTCTTTTTTGACACCAATTCCAATTCTATAACAATATCCAACTTTATATGTCCCTCTAGCGTAACCCATTTCTGCAGAATTTTGGTAATAAATGAATGCCTTATGTTTATCCTTTTCGATACCAATTCCATATCGATAGCAATATCCAACCTTATATGTCCCTCTAGCACATCCCATTTCTGCAGATTTTTGATAATAAATGAAGGCCTTATGGTCGTCCTTTTCAACACCAATTCCTTTTCTATAACAATAACCAATCATATATGTTCCACTAACGTGTCCCATCTCTGAAGATTTTTGATAATAAATGAAAGCTTTATGTTCATCCTTTTCAATCCCAATTCCATTAAAATAACAATATCCAACATTATAGGCACCACTAGCGTATCCCATCTCTGCAGATCTTTGATAATAATTGAAAGCCTTATGTTCATCTTTTTCAACACCAATTCCATTGAGATAAGAAAATCCGACATTATATATCCCTCCAGCATAACCAATTTCAGCCGATTTTTGATAA